ACCCGGTGAGGGGAGAAAATGAACAGAGTAGCTTCTCCAACAAGGAAGAAGATCAAATTATAGGGAAGCAAAATTTTCACAGAGGAGATGCCTCCTAGTCATTGAGTATTTTGCTATGGGCACCTCTCAAGTTATTTTGAATAACTGAGCATGGTATGTTATGAAATGTACTTGGTCATGTTTGTTTCTTTATACATTAGCCATGTATCAGTGAATAAATCAGTAAATTAAAAAGCTAAGCAACTCCTATTTTGAGCACAGTGAAAGGGCTGTCACATGGAGTATTTGAAGCAGGATTAGCTTTCAATCTGTAGGCAACAGTGCGTTCATTTCCGATTAAGAATTTTTTGTCTGATATGTGTGTATTATAAATCTCCACGTGTGCACTGCATCCTGCTACGCTACATCTTGAAAGAGCTCTTGTTCACTTGATGACCTCCTGATTTATAAATATTATTTTGGGACGTCATTTACATGTTTGTTAATATATTTGTTTCTAACCTGAAACTGCAACTAGTTAATATTGGCAAGCTAGTTAACAGCCAAAGCACTAAACAGCAGCTACAAATGTCTGCAGATTTCAGTCAGTATATACTGTAATAGGGGCCGTTAAAAGTTTGTAATTGTGGTAGAATTCACTTTGTTAAAACAGCTCAGACTCAAAGACTACTCAAGCTTAGCGTGAGCTTCTTAATTAGGTAACTTTTTGCTTACAATGACTTTATAATAGGGAGCCGGTTAGCTCAGTGGTTTGAGCGCAGTGCTGACAACAATGACCAACACCGAGGTCGTGGGTTCGATTCCCGCTTGGTCCACATGTGTTACCTGGTCTAGTCGAGAGGTGGCGTCCCTGCCCAAAACAGAGAGGTTGGACTAGATGATCTCTAAGGTCCCTTCCACCCTAGGCCGTTCTGTGATTCTATGATAATGCTTTAAAAACACTCTGAGCGTTGCTCCCATACTGCTGTTGTTTCTAGGGCAAAAGAAGGGTTTTGGGGTTTCAAGATGTTTGCATAATCTCTAATGAAATTCCACTTCACGACGTGTGTAATAATATTTTGGCCTATTTTTCTTTTCTCTTACTTCTTAAGCAGATCACTGGATATACAATGATAACAGTGAAGTCAATAAAGCATTCTCAAAGGGGTGCTGAGATAACAGAGAGCTACTGCAGTTACAGACTTGGGGAGGTTATTTATCCAGCCAGAACTCCATATTTTGATACATGCTAAAAGCAGATTTATCTTTAGCACAGATACTCTGTGGACTAGATTTTTTCCTCTTGCTCAACAAGGAGAAAACAGGCATTGCTAGTTTTCGCCAGAATTAATACTGATACCCAGAACATTAAGTATCATTTTGGAATTGATGGGGTATGGTGTTCTAGAGATGGTACATTACACAGGCCCTGGGGGGAGCGCCTCGTTACCTTGGGCTAATTACAAGAGCTACAGCAAACTAGAATTAGAGATACCAGTCTGAAAGATTTGGGATTAGATAAACTGGTTACTCTTTAACTGCTTTAGGTTATGAAAACCAAGAAGCTAAATAATGCATTGTATGCTAAACCCACACCCCTGCCCCCACCTCTGAATATATGCACGTTTTAATTCTACCTGTTTAAAATTATAGAGTCTGAAGGGATGTGTTAGACAGTGTGTGCCTCTTGGCAGTTACACATGGGGTCATGGCTTTGGGAAGGTTTCTCATTGTGACTTCTTCCATCCAGCTGTGATAGCAAGTGCAGATGGAAAGCTGAAACTATAAGTTGACTATTTTCCAGGTTGCTAGAATGGTAGGGCAGGTTATAAAGAATTTCTTTTGCGTAATATACTACAAACTGGCCTTGAGTAAGACTGGGAATTAGTTTGCTTTTTATGGGAGATTTATGGACAGTCAAGTACCTGGACAACACACTTTATTTTGTTTGCTTACCTTATCTATGATTAAAGGCAGAAAACACGGATTATTTTCCTTTATCTCAGGAGGAAATCATGCTATATGAGAAATCCCCCACTTTAGCTTACTACTGAAGCAGATTATGTACAGCGAAACCTAATTCTGCATTGGTAGTACAGCTAATTGAATAATTGGACTGATTCATAGCAGTCAAGTAATACAGAAATTACATTTCTTTTTATGATCTTTTTACCTGATATTAAAAATCCAGCAGCTATGTCCACTGCAAGTTTTTTCATCTCATTTAGGTTTGCCGTTGTTAGGTAAGGTCTGTTGCTTCACTTGCTGTGCATGGGCAAGTGAAATCCAGCATCACTGATAGACTCCCCTCTCTTGCATATGGATCAAGGGTTCTGGGTAATCAGATACTCAGGCTGCAAACCAGCATTTTCAGTTCTGAAGTTGGTAAAAAGATTTTGTCCATTCCCACGGTAGAATGGCTGTGACACAGTGATTCATGTATCTAATGTACTCCAACCCTGGTTGGGAGTAGGTAGATGCAGTATTTAGCAAGAAAAGCTCTCCAGGAGCAGCCCAACATCTAAACGGCTCTTGCTACAGAGACACTTCAGCGGGTGCTCCCATCAGTAAAATTGGCCTGCATTCAAAATATTTGTGAAGGTTGAGGTTTACTGTCCATGACACCGGACTGAGATGCCTGGAAAACAATCTTTTGCTTTGTGTTGATGTTTTTATGATTTCCAAAATAAAGATTAAACTTTCTGGTGCAAGGATCTCTCTGACAGAGCGCTCTCTCCTTTATCTTAGAACAAAGATAACCTAATTCTAGAGAAATGTTCAGGCTACTAGATTATTTTGAAATGGAAGGCAAAGCTTCTATTTGTCCTAACCTTTCCTTGGCAAAAAAAACTTCTCAAAAAAAGCCAAAGGGAGGGAGAGGGGGATGATTTCTCACACAAACGTGCACAAAAAAAAACCAACCCAGCATTCCAGCAACTGTCTAGAGAATAGGCTGAAATGTGCTCTGATGTTGAACCCCTTCTGCTGTTAGCTCATTTTTTCGAGAGACATTTTGACACTATAATATAGGGTTGCAAATTGGAAGTGCAACACCCTGCTATTGGGCCAAGTGACGAAGCTGCACAATAACTGCTTGCTTGATCTTACCACTCTCTTTAATGTGCGTGTAAAAGGTATCAGGAGCCTTTCCAGGCATCTGTCAGGATATTTGATGCTGTAAGATCGGGAACTTTGGTCTGTGTGTGGTTTCTCTGTGTGTATGTATGTTTTACCAGTATTTTATATAGTGTGGTAACCACAGGGCAGAGTTTCAGGTTTTATAACAGTTGGGTTTTGTTTATTATTAGAATACTAATTGACCTGGCAGATGATTACAGAGAATACAGTTCTTATGCTCTTGTCGCAGGAGTTTCATAGGTAATTGGTCTTGACCTCTGTGTCGTCTTTAATATTTCATTTGCTCCAGAGTATTATTACTCACTTCCTTTAAGACGACAGCTAGGCTTTTTATGCAGCTAAACTTGTGTTTAACCTTGCTATGAGAATGTGACAGTAGGCTAGTTCAGACAGGTTAGTTCATCTGGTAACCAGCCTGCTTCATCAGCCTGATTCAACCTGCAGCAAATTAAATCTTTGTGAGTTCTAGCAGAACAAGTGATAAAGTCATTCTGAATTATGTATAAAAATAAATGGGGTATTTTCAGTGCTTGTGGCAGTAAATGAAATTTAAGGCTTATGATTTATTCTTGAGTTTTTGTTGAGGACGATTGAAATTTATTGTACCTTGATGTTTTTACAGTCTAACTAGGAGGGTGCTGTACTTCTGAAATATGTAATATAAGTCTGTCATTCTGTGCCTGGCAAAAATAGTGATCATTTTTATAGTATCTATACAATCTTTTTCTGTCCTTTGTGTACAGTATTTTAAACATACAGCCGGAACCATCTTTCTCCAAGTACTACACATCATCAAATTTTTGTTGTGACTGAACTGAATCAGCTGTCTTTATTTGAGAGCTATTCACACTGTAAATGTAGCCCAAGTGTTCTCAAGATGGGGCTTAGGTGCTTCTGAAAATTCTGCTTGTGGTCATCAACCTCAGTTGACCAGGACTGATGAAGTTTCCAAAAGAAGACAGAAGGGCACAGCCAGGTGTTTTCGTACCCTGTATAAAGAGATGTGTGAAGGGTGCTCGAAATCCAAGGATGTCACAAACAGTCCTGGTCACGGAGGAGTGGATTAGTACATTTTTAAATGTGATGTACGTAGGCTCAGATCTTCAAATATTATTGTTGGGTGTTTGTCAGCATCTAATAGTTTTGTCTTTAGATTTTTTTCCATTTACTACCTCATTAGTTTTTAAAAGTTGAGATTTAGGCATACAGCAACAGGGAAAAGTGCTATGTCTGTTGGCACTGGTTAATGAAGGTCTATCCTGTCTGTGCTGATTGCAATTCCACCTGCACTGTTGGGTTTGTGTATGTCCTTTGCCATCAGTAATGACCACGATGGAGATGAAATGTATTTTTTAAGTAGCCATTGTGATCGTGTCTTTTACAATGTCTGCTGATAAACTGTTCTTCCAAGACAATATCTTTTCAGGGTACTTGACTGTTTTTAATGGGTTGTATGGGTACCTAGCATCTTCACTTTAACATTTGCTTATTGATTAGAAAGGGAAAATTTACATTTGCTTCATCAAAGCATACCACTGTCAAAGTTACCACATACAAATAATGGTTCAAACTTCAGTAATCATTTAGGAGAAAGTAACAATTCAAGATAGTTTTGAGTTTGCAGTTCTGTTTAGTTTGTTTTGATGCTCTCTGCAAACACACCTTTAAAACTCAGTTGATGGTTCTTCGACCATTTTTATGTAAGGAATCGTTTTAGTTTTTCAGGCTTCTTTCTTTATTTTTTTATATTTAAGTCAGTATTCTGCAGTGCAGTCTTCTGCAGTGAAGTCTTCAGTTTGAATCTCAAAGCAAAAAATCTCTTACATCAAAACACCTTCAGCTGAGACTATGGCTTTAATAAACGATCATTGCTTTGTTTGTAGATGACTCTAGCTGTATCGGGATTGACTTTTCCTTGCCATCGACTTACAGTTGGAAGAAGATCTTCACCTGTCCAAACGAGGGAACAGTCAGAGGAGGTAAGAACATCGTCTTTATTACTCTAGGAAGAAGCAGGCAAAGCTCCTTTTGCAATGTTCACAGTCCCTTCTGTTGTCAAATACGTCAGTAGAATTGCATCTTAAAAGAATCAATTTACAATTCCTGTAACATATAATTGTGACAAAGGAGCTGGATAAGTGAGTCATTGAAGAAAAAGAGGAAAAACAAAGTAAACAAGCCACAGTAATTATTGAAAAATACTCTAAATTAAATAGAAGGTCAAAACATGCATTTTTAGCATTAGCAGAAGGAGGTGCTTGCAGACTGTATAAACTCCTGGTTTGTTGTTTCGAAATATTAGCAGTTTGGGTTAAAATTTTCAATCGTTTTGTCCCTTCTCAAAATGAATTTAATATAACGAGTTCCCATTTTCCACACACTTCACTTACTGCTTTGTTTAGAGACAATAAGGTTCCTCTCGCTGCACAAGAAGGATGTGTTTCAAGGTTGTTTTCAACCTCATTTGAGTTGGCAAGGTGTGGCTGAGAGGTAGGGTCAGGACACAAGCCTGGATATGTGCTGCTGCACTGTTGTTAACAGTTGGAGGATGGTCAGGCAGTGCTGTTCTAGCTCTAACTCAACCACTTTGCAGGTTAAATATTGTTTTCTCCTGGGATCTCCCAGCATAACTGTGCATCATTGCTACTTTACTTCATTCCTTCGGAATGACATGACCTTGTTCACCTCGTAGGGTTTTCTAGTTCACTCAGTAAATGTTCTTTATGCCAAGTTCTTTATGTGTAGCCATTGCAGAGGTTGGTCCAGCGTGTTTGGAGCTCATTGCTCCTCTCATGCTCACTTGCACGCTAAAGCTGAAACCTCACGCTTTGTAATACACTTTGTTGCACTTTGGTGTAGATTTTCTGTAGTGTACTACCACTGAAACTTCTAGGTCAAGTGGAGCTGGAATAGTCATTCATGAAAAGAAGTCAATTTAGAGGCAAGTTAATACTGAGTAGTTAAAACCAACGTTCTTCTGAGCTGTTTTATGTTGCAGAGGACATGAAATCCAAAAGATCTGACGGTGGGAGTTGGAGGCAAAGATGGGACCTTAGCTCCTTGTACAAAAATGTTAGGTTTCCTCCTTTATGGTAGTATGCTAAATAAATCAGCTTGTCATTCAGCATGCACACCTGGTGTGCCAAGCTAGGACTACGAGAGCTGAATTTGTGTGTCAGAGATTGCAATACGGTAGCCAGGTACCTTTCCGAGGACTGTCCCCCACCATGCCAGTATTGCTAATGTAGATTGTATCTGAATGTCTAAAATTATTGATAGATTGTGTGGCTTTTCTCACTCTTTCTTAGGCAGTAAAATCAGCAGTATTGCTGTTGGATGGAAAATAGCATTAACTTTGGATATTATTCGCTCAACTGTGTAGACAGAGACAATTTCTTAGTTATTTAATACTGAATTTTGTCACATAATATTGCTCTGTCAACCAGACTTCTGTTAAAACTTAGGTCCTATTTATACAAAGCAGTCTGATAGTATATAAAATAGTAAAAACCAAATGCAGTATATCAGGGGTTTATATAGGAGTATGTAAGTATTTTTTACTATGTATGTGTTTTGTATTTTACTGAAGATGGTCTGCAATAGAGGCTTATGGTGGATTTTGGTTTTTTATTTTTATTTAGCAATGCACTGATGTTCACATGGTTAGTGACAGCGATGGAGATGATTTTGAAGATGCTACAGAGTTTGGTGTTGATGATGGAGAAATGTTTGGAGTAGCATCATCTGCCTTGAGGAAATCGCCAATGAGTAAGAGTTGGCAGTTAATTTACAATTAACTGATGATCCTACAGCGGTAGTGAAGGCAGAGGGAGGTGTAATGGGTCTGTGCAATAAGGAACAAGAAAGCATCTTTGATAGGAATGTTAGAATTGAGAGTCTAATGGATATATCAAATGAAAATACTACAAATAATATATGTAATAATATGGAAAGCTTATTAATGTTATGTATAGGAAGCCTGGAAAAAAAAAGGGGGAAGGGGAAGAAAAATAAAAGTAACTAGCAATATAGTGGATCAAGCCTTTCAAGCCAATCCTTTCATTTTAATGTATTAAAGTAAGTCCGAAGTGTTAACTCTGAACAGGTGATATATCACATTACACTGGACCTGAGGATTTTAATTTTTGGAAAGCCTGAGTATATTCATGAGAGCATCTGGAAATTTCTTGTAATTCCAAAGGTTCATAGTTGATAGTCTTTCATGAAATTTGTGTTTCTTGGTAAGCTGTTGCTTTGGTAAGCTGTCAACATAAAAAAATCCATGAAGTGAGTGAGTTTGCATATTAAAATCTGTTTCCATAAGGTTGCATTTAATTATTTAATTTTTTTTAAGTGCCAGAAAATGCTGAAAATGAAGGAGATGCCTTACTACAATTTACAGCAGAGTTTTCTTCAAGGTAATCTTAGCCTATTAACTGTGCAATTCTTGTTGCAAACTAAATAAAATTTAGTAAATAATGAAAATAAAAATAAAAAGTACACATATTTTCTTGTGAAGACATAGCATCCTAATGTTAGAATTGTTTCTGAAGTAACTAGATTTCTCAGTCTGAGTGTCAGATTCTTGCCTTATTTAATTTTTCGCTAATTAATCTCATTAATTATGTAAGAGTCCGGAAGGATGGTAAAGACTCTGATTATGCATAATAATTTTAATATGACTTACAGGAACCTAAAAGCTGAAACTGATTAATATTGAAAACTATATGCAGTAAGAGTTTTTCACATTAATGAAGTGGTTGGATAAGTCTCTACTTGTAAAAAATATAGAAATACTGCTTTTTTTAAACATTATACCACCAAATCGTATGTTGTTAAAAAGTTGCCATGTGTCATCAAACAGGTGGAAGCTGCAAACTAATCCACTGCAAAGTATTGTAGTTTTCACTCCGCTGTGATGAAGTGTCCATTTAGATATGAGATACATCACTGTGTAATACAAGAATAGCCTTCAATTAACCTTTGAGAATATAATAAATAAGTTGTAATTGAAAAAATGTGTAAAACTTAAGGTGTCTGTGTATGTAAACAGAAAGTTTTTACGTTAAAATTTGTAATAGTGGTTAGTTTGAGTTTTTGAATGTTGGGAGATAGATATTTCCTTTCTGTCCCTTAAAAGTGTAGTACTTCATCTTTCTAAAGGTTTCGCCAATGTATTATATTTACAGAAGAGGTAGAATATTGAAATAACTTATTTTTGTAGTTTTTTATTAATTGGAAATTTTGTCTCAAATAGATATGGTGACTGCCATCCTGTCTATTTTATTGGATCATTAGAGGCTGCTTTTCAAGAAGCCTTCTATGGGAAAGCTAGAGATGTAAGTGTGCATTACAAACTACTTTATTTAATATAAGGGGGAATGGAAATCACTCTAAATATTTCATCTTTATTTTAAAAAACGTCAACTGCATTTTGGAGTTATCTTGTATTTATTGTTTGTGAAGAGTTATACTCCTTTAGTTGACTGACTAAAATACTTAGTTGTTGTTTAAATTGCAGTAAATAACTCATGGTTTCTAATCATTCAGGCTATGTTTTTGTTGGAGTCCTTTAGTCATCAGTGCTACTTTTTTTTTTTTTATTTTTTTTTTAAATCCCCCACTTTTTTTTCTGAAATAATGGTGTCCTAGTGCCAGGCAACACAGGCTGTGAGTCTTGTGGTTTATAAGTTCAACATTGCATGTTGGTAACTACTTTGAAGAATGGATAATGAAATTGCAAATTTAGGTTGAAAGGTCTCTAAAATACAGTGCACTTTTTTTTTTCATGTGTGCAGCCTTTATCTCCCAAGTAAATTCCAGTACTAAGGTTTGGTTATTTAGTTTTTCTGTACATCCAACCAGACATCTCAAGTTTCTGTTATTCCATGCACAGTTTTAAAATCAGTGTTTTAATACATTTAGAATGAGGATAGTTTATTTAAGTTTTGGTGTCTTGAATTCACTAAGGAGAAACCCAAACCCCTGCATAATTAAGCATAGATAAAGCTGAAACACAAACAAGAAAACCATGCTGTTTAAATTTACTTTTTTATTGCCTTGATAGATATTTAATTTAAAGATGGAGAATGTTTTGGCTTCCTGTAGTTATTCGTGTTGGACGGAACAGCTACGTTATGTTCAGGGCTGTTCGAAGTGCAGTGTTATAAATCTACACTGTGCAGCTTCAGTTAACACCTACTCAACATGCGTGCACAGAGAGCTGTCTCACAGTCTAAGTTTAGAGTATTTTCATGAGTATTTTCATGTCTATGTACAGATTTTAGAGCAGAACTGCATACAGAATAAGTCGGTGGCGAAGTATTAATTCATAATAGCTCGTTAAAGTGGAACTTAATGCATGGTTAAAAGAAATCAAGTTATTAATTCGACAAAAGAAAAGTTCACTTTGTGTCATTTCATCAGAAGTGGTTGACAGTGTATCTGTATAATAGATGAGAGGTCACAGGAGCTTTCATGAATATCTTTTATACCTGTAATTCTGATATTAATATAGTGCAGTTATTTATATTTTTAATACTCTAAGTACTTTGTGGACAACTTTCATAGGACATATGAAATTCATGTCACTTACATTTCTAATATTTAGTGATGTAGTCAGAGCAGATCTTCATCAGGACAAAGTTACATCCTTGCGAAAGGGTATTTTTTGTGGGGTTTTTGGGTTTTTGGACTTTAATTTCTTTTTTTCCCACAAATATTGCCTTAATTTTTGAAAGTCCTCTCCGCCAGCTACCCTGTTGAATGACATTATTTTTATTGTAGCATTCTGATCTAAAACAAATGTATGAGAACATATATATACCATTTATTTTAATTGCGCTTTTCCTGTTACAAATAACTGGTTTCACTACTGCCTCCTGGAATTCATAACTGAGGAAAGGGATACATTATTTTACACTTTTATAATTGCATTTCATAAAATAATTCCATATGTATATCAGTATAAGGGAAGAAGCTTGGCAGAAATTGCAATCTGTATGTCTTGTCTTCTGATTTATACTGCGGAGGACACTTAATTTTACCAGGGCAACAGATGAGCTTCGGGCAACAGATGAGCTTCAGGCACCAGCATTCTTCACTTGGAAGTGAGAAATTGAGTTCCAAGGGTAAATAAAAACAAGATTGAAGGTTTAAATCCTCTGCTAGGCTTTTTGAACTTATATACTCATTAAATGTTTATTGGAGTGGTGGGATTACGAAGGATTTGGGTAGCTTCATCAACTGGTATATACTTAATCACTAAGTAAAACACTACATTTGATAGAGTGTTTCTCACGATGCCACACTCAATCCATCTTAATGAAAACCGCTTCAAACTGATTTAATTTGAGAGCACTTGGCAGCTTGAGTGCTCAGAGATCTTAGCCTTTTCTTGACAGATTCTCAGCATTGTCCAGAGCAGAAGGTGCACTCCGCGCTTCAGGCCTAGTGAGGCAGCCATCAGCCACTTTTTAAATCTGGTTTATGGCTAATTTTTCCCTCCAAAAAATCCCAGCATATATCAACTTGAAGCCTTTGGCAGAAATTCTTTAGTTTGGCTTATTTTCAGGAAATTAACTTATTTCAGAACATGTGTTTTAAACACAAATTATGGGTTAAAATTCTTCTTTAAGAAAATAGATGATCTTCTGTTAAATGTCGCTGTGTTTAATTTTCTTGTGTTGGAAAGGATGGCGATTCGTAGCTCTTAAGGAAAATGAGAAAGAAATACCTTGTAAAAAACTATTACAGTTTAACTTTTATTATTGTAGTTTCTTGAGGCTTTGGGTAAGATTAGCATATATGATGAGTATCTGTTTTTCTTTAGAGCCACTGTTACCGTGATAGTGCCAGTTTTAGGTAGGAGAGATGGAATGAGGTCAAATGTAGCTCTACTTTAAAACCTGTGCAATCTCTTCAGCAGAAAAATGCAGTAGTCAAGATACAGAGTTTTGCCTTTAACAACTGGTGTCCTTGGCAATGAAATACCCGGTTACCTCCTGCAGCCTGTTAGTTCAGAGCACCATGCATTTATTTCCAAGGCTTACTTCATATATTAACGCAAAAAAATATTATTTTTTCTCTTTATTCTTTATTTTTTTAATTGAGTCAGGAAGAGAGAATCAGAGGTTTATTAAATTAACACTTCCTATGTCAACTGGAAAGAAGCAAGCTTACTCTTGCTCAAGTGACGACACCATCATAGCAACAGCTTGTCTTGATGCTGTGGAAAAATCTTATAATGGACAGTTTTAAATAAGATGTTTGGGAGAGGTTCCTTTGCCACTGAAAGCAGTTTGTGGGTGCCTTGCGTTCTGAAACATCAAGGGGTTTATCCTAACTCAGGGCAGTATTGTTATTAATGCAGGATCTTCATTGCTATATTGAATCTCACTGAGCTATTTACCTGAATAATACTAGAGTATTTTCTTTTATTGGAGCTTGTTTGCCTTTTCATTTTTATAGGTGGTTACTACTCTTTTATTATGAGAAAAAGTAAAGACATTCACTTTGCCTTTTCAGGAGCTCTTACCTTTATATACCTCTGTCAGATCACCTGCTCCTCTCTCAACCTTTCTGTCCACTGACTTTTAATAAATATGTGAAACATCTCTCTTTGCACAGATTGGTATTGTCACCTCAATATAGATTCCTGCATACTGAAAATGAGCCATGTTTTTCTTCTCCTTTGAATTCCGTCTTTTCGGTTCAATTTTAGTGGCAGCACCATCCCTCTCGCGTATGGGAACTTGATTTCCTGAACACCTAGAAGAAAGTATGCTCCTTCGATGATTTGGCATGTTCTAATAAAAGCTTTTTTTTTTTTTTTCTCCTAGTGATAACAGAATATTTCTTCCTACAAGGCTTTCTGTAGGATCATTTTAATCTGTGTAACTCAGACAACTGTACCTCATTATTATTTTAGCTAATTAAGTTAATGCAGAACTTAGAAAAAGAGACACACGGAGATAACTGTTCCAGTTTCTGTTAGAGCATGTTATAGACACAGCACTGGCTGTCCTCCAGTTGCCTTGTCTTGGAAAAGAAATTTGAAGGCCGTCGTTTAGATGCTACCTCATATATAAAGAGGTTCCAAATCCCAACAGCAAGACAGCTTTTTGGTTTAGTTTTTCATAGAATCATAGAATCATAGAATGGCATGGGCTAGAAGGGACCTCAGAGATCATCTAGTCCAACCTCCCTGTTTTGGGCAGGGACGCCACCTCTGGACTAGACCTGGCAACACATGGGGACCGAGTGGGTCATCCTTTTCCCTCATTTATTCCCTAAATATGGTGGAGTGATGTCAGGGAGTGCAGCTGCACCATCACCCTTTACTTTGACTCCAGGCACATCATCCTTAAATTCGTTCTGAACTTGTTTAGAAATTTTTGCTACAACATAGCAGCTTACTAGTCTCTCTTTGTGCCTACATGCCCCGTATTCTGCTTCATCTTTCATATCAGAAAGATTGGTCCTGGCTACAGGTCTCTCTTCAGCATTCTCTATACTTGATATTAAATAATGGAAGTGTATTGAAGTTGTCTGCCACATGCTGTATTTCCTCCTCTTTCAAAGCCAATGATTTGTAGATCTTATTTGAGTTTGGTTTTAATTACTGGATATTCTTTGCATATTACATAAGATATCACTACAAGTTCAGTTAATTGAAACAGAGATACAACAGTATAATAGGATCAAATATTTGGAAGATGAAAGTGGACTAAATCAAGCTTAAAATAAAACACAGCTTTACCTAGGAGAGTGGGTAGCCCTTTAAACAGCCTACCATGGTTCATATGGATTCTCCGTCACTGATGTTTTTTTGAGACTAGGTATTTTAATGAAAGCTAGCATTACTGAAAGACTAAATTAGAAATCAGTTTAGATATGTTTTGTGCCGTGTATAATACAAAAGACCAGATCAGAAGATTGCAGGAATCGTGGAATCACCTCATTTTCACTGTAGGAACCTATGGGGTACAGTTCAGTTTGGATTGCCTTAGTCTTGGAGGAGGCTTGTGTTCTGCTTAGGGAGAACAGACTGTGTGTGATAGACCAGCTGTGTCTGAGAAGGGTGATGGTGTGATCTCCAGGATCACCTTAGAGAGGTGGATCAAAGGCTTCAAGATGCACAAATGTGTCTCTTTGTTCATATAAATTAGCTCTTACTACATAAAACCTAGAGGAAAAGGAAAGATCTTGATTTCTTAGTCTACCAGCTTGAAAGAACCTTCACGTCTCTAGCAGTTGTTACATCGTGAACATTTTTGTCTCGATTATGACTTGAATTTGTGGATCTGAGATTCAGAAATAACCATTCAAGTCCGTGTTTTTGCTGACCCTTATGACTGTATCACTGTTGTCATAGTTCATATTCATCCAAGTTATTAATGTTATTAGGAACTAGCTGCAAAGCCACTTCCTAATTAGGAATTACCAATTTACTCTCTCAGCCTCACGAACATGTGGTTTCCTTCTACCTCAGCCTCAGCTCTTCAGGAGTTAGAACCTTTTCAGTATCTCATACCTTCATAGGGACTAGTAAAAGTTCTTCCCCATTGGATTTTTTTTTTCTTGGTTAAAATTTTATGCCAAGTATATAAGCCCTGAGTCGTCGTATTTTGAGAAATCCAACACAGAACAGACTAGTGCTCCATTAATAGGTTACTTTTAAGGAAGTCAAGACTGTTCCAACAGTTTAGTAAGCCTGTTTTATTAATATTAACTAAAAAATTCCCAGTATTAGTCATCATAGAATCTTAGAATTTACTCAGGTTTTTCAAAGGCTTGAAATAAAACTAGCAAAAAACCTGCTTATAAATATATACTACCATGGGTTAGTAAGAAAAAACCAAAACCAACAACAGAAAACCACAACAAAACGAACTGCAAACAAACTACACAGCAACAGCAACAAACTCCAAGCTGTAAGCCTTGTGCAATAATGTGTTTTTCCAAGGAAGAAATATCCCTGACTTCCACTAAGATTTTTCAGAATGACATTTCAGCACTTCAGTTCCTCCTGCTCCCTCTTTTCATTTGTCCTAGAAGTATGCCGATGCCTGACCTTAACATTTTGGATGAGCTATCAGACGCAAGTACAGTCCTTTATATGTGACGGAGTTTAGTCTTTAGTCTTGGTGTGGTAAGGTTTGTTGATGCAACAAAAATCACATTCACTTGTGAAGTAGCTCAGTGTAAACATCTATTGTGAATCTGCCTGTACTGTTTACTAAAATTTGTCCCTAAATCTTTAAGCCTAAAACTGTACATATTTTGAAACATTCCGTTGTGCGGAATCTCATATTTAACAGTTTCATGGGGTTGTTTCTTTGGAAGTAAAAGTGTTTCTCAAGAGCCCTTTTTTCTACCCGCTCCCAGTGAAAAGAGGAGAGCAAAGCCATCCGCTTACCACAAAGCAGTGCCACCACAAAGGAAAGATTAAGGGTTTAGAGAGAGGTCAATGTGGGTTTTTCTCTAACTAAACACTTTCCTAAAGTTTCCTTGTGGAAAAAATAATGAAGTCATCTCAGAGTTTTTAAAGAATTTTTATTTCTTTTTCACCGTCTGCATTCGCTTGTCTTCTCAGCATGGATGTTTAATCTTTCTAGGCTTTGTGAATTGGTCCAAATGAATAAGTGGTGAGCTGTCTCTCTAGGAGCTAGGGGCTTATTCTAAGGCCCTAATCACTGAGTAAACACATCTTTGCCCTCCCTCTCTTACAACTGCTATATAATAGTCGAGATTCTAGCACAGTAACCTGGATATTGCAGGGATCGACGCTTTGAAATGCAGAATGGCTGATCCTCAAAAACAGACAGTGCCTGATCTTCCCCTACCTCTTTCTTCTTTTTAAATTAAATATCACCACAGAAATGCTGTTTTATTGCTTGATATTGTGCATCAGTGCCCTGGATTTTCAAGTTTAGTTTCAGTCAACATTGTTGGCTGCACTTATGGATCTCTGCATGTTGGTCTTAATAATGGCCCTTCCTGGCACATGTGTACATGGTTCTGAAGAACATTTAAATTAAATTAGGCAAACATTAATGCAAACTACTAATCCCTTTCCAAAGTCGAATGTTCAAATGTATTCTTCTTTTTATAAACAGTCATTAAGTTTTATCTGGAGCCAGTATATGAGGTGATAGCCATACGGGTATTTTATACAGGCGGTTTCTCTCAAAATTGCGTCCTCTGTCTTTCTATATCAGTACACGTCAATATCCAGTGTTCAGTGTTACTTCTGATGAAGAGATGTGAAATGACTTTAAAGTCTGAAAATAGCGTTTACCATATCGTCTCAGCAAATATGTTCAAGAGGGATTTTAAAATAAAGTAGGTAATATATATGGGTATGGGGAAACAGAAAGTTGTAATTTTCTGAATGGCATTTGTAATTCGTTGAATACCAGATATAGGATCATGGCCCTTAACTAGCTCATAGTTTCTCTGTATTTTTCTCAATCTGCTTTCTATATTTACATACACATAGTCTCACTTTCCCAAAAGCAGTCTGAGATTACCATGAGGGCACAGCACAACTCTATGCTTCTGGCAGGGCAGCTCAAATATTACTTGATGCGGCTTCAGAAGAACACGGCACAGAATATTTTGTTTCAGGATGCCACAAACTCCATTCTCAGCGTCTAGCCTTCGCTGACATGACAACTACGACGGGATCTGTCAGTGCTCACGAGCCCAGTGTGGGGTTTGATCCATGTCTGCCGTACCCCTTCCTTGGATCCTTCACGTTTGCAGTGCTGGGCACCTTGCTCCTCAGCTCCAGGCGAGAGGCAGCTGCCAAGAAAGTCCACTCATTTCTTAAGCTACGTCTGTTAATAAAGTTTTTGTTTTTCATTCAGGTATTGTTATTTTCATCTTCTAAGCACATAATATATCAAGTTTTGTCACCCAAAAATAAAATATTAGGAAGCATTGAGAAGATTTACAGATTTGGAGGGATGGACCGTTTGACTTGATACCTACTGATTTACTTTTTTCCCTGTGTGTGCACATTTTGAGATACTTAGCACCCTTGATAAACACCATAAGGAGCACTAGCGCGTGAATCTTTTTTTTTTTTAAATTACTAAATAGCCTGAGGAAGTTTTAACTGATCTTTTCTCATGTCTTTTCAGAGAAAGCTTCTTGCTATCTACCTCCACCACGATGAAAGTGTCCTAACCAATGTCTTCTGTTCACAAATGCTTTGTGCTGAATCTATTGTCTCGTATCTGAGTCAGAACTTCATAACCTGGGCGTGGGACATGACAAAAGAAGCAAACAGAGCAAGGTAAGACCCTTTGGACTGTGAGTGGAGCAGCTTTTCTCTCAGGGAAAGACCCTTGCCTCTCTGTATCCAATCTTATGTTAAAAACAGGTTATGCATAAAATAAAAGTTTGCAATTCATATGAACTTTTTTGAACTACAGTTTTCTAACAGAACATTACTTTGATATTCAGATATTTTGATAGGTTTTAGTATAATAGCTCTCCTATGTCTTACAGAGGTCATCATTTTGCTGATGAGTAAAGAAATAAAAAACACCTGTTGATTTTATCTCTTTCTACATCTTTTGTGTGTTACCAACAAATTTTCTTATCCTTATATTAGGGCCTCTCTCTATATTTATTTATCAGTTGATTAAAATCTGTTGAAAATAATGATTGCATTATTATTATTGTATTCAGAGATAAGACTTGTTTGGTTTTCTAACTTGGACTTGCCAGGATAATGTCTTGCCTATATTACTGTAATGAGAGTTATTGTAAATTTTGAACAAAAGATGCAACAGTCATTTGGGCTGGGATAAGGTTGCTGCTTCTTCATACAATTCCATTGATTATTGAACAATTATAAGTAAGTATTTGTGTTTCTTTTTCTTGTGGCTTGCTAGTATAGAGTGTTCATACATTTTTATTCTTAAACATGTAAATTATAGTTAATACTTCTGTACTGAAAGTGGGCATGGAGAACAGAACAATCTCTTTTTCCGGTACACTTTTTAAAAGACACTTGTGTTTCCCAGGAGCTCCTCACTCAACCTTCTGCATTTCTTCATTGGAGGAATCAGCAGCTATGTTCCTAGTTTAAGGTATTCTAGAGAACAGTTAAAAATTATGGAAAAAAGCAGTTTCAAAAACAGATAAAAAGTTTTTTAAATGAAAAGAGACAGAGGAAAAAGAAACATCTAGGTTCTTTCATGGGACCAAATGCATAGACTGGAAAGTTGCTTAAGTCTTTTGGTGTTGCCATTCATGGGCAGTAAAGAGCCTCCTCGTTTTCTTTTATCCCACAAGTTGGTGTAGAAGGAAACACTATTTCTAAACCATCTGTAGTGGCTAAGTTCAGTTGACTACCTGCCGTGCCATTGTTCGCATTTCTGTTTAATTCTCCAGTTTCTTTTATTTTACAATGACAAAAAAATTGCAGTGTAGTTTCTTTTGAAAAACTGTGTTTGAGGGGGTTTTTTATGACTGACGATCAACAGCCATGTAATTGCTTTGTTGTGTTTTACTAAAGAAATCTATTAAGTAGCACAACTTTGATACACTAGTAATAAGAGTTTGCAGGTTACAGACACCTGTGGTGACCAAAGTGACAGAAGCTGCTTGTTAGAAAGAGCCTGTACAGCTGTGTCCTATTAACTCCTTATGACACTTCTTAAAACACAAAATAAAGGGCTTGTTTAAGGCTTTATAGCTGTTCTCAATGAACCTCGTCACCGATTGTGCACTGCGATAGGGTTTTTAAGCCTACATTTTTCACTTTCCATTGACAACAACAAAGAAACAGTCATATTAACAGTGAGGGCAAAAAATAGTAAGGGGTAAACAAGGCACTCTGGCTCGAATCAGAGTAATTTCTCCATTGTGGTTAGTGTCACATCCTGCTCCTTAGACTGCGATCTCTTCAGAGGGGGGCACGATGCTTCCTTCACCCTTTGGAAAGTGCCAGTGCACTGTGAGCATTCCCATAAATAAATACTCGGTACCCCTGATTAATTACTACCCTTCATCACGTGGCACAACCACAGTGGTCCTGGAGTCTTACTCTGTTCTGTATCCCTGTGAATACAGTTGCACGTAGCTTTTTATTTGAATGGCAAGAAGGCAATGGCAACAACAGAAGGAACTGCTTTTTTGGGTGCTGGAGTAGCCCAAGAGCAGCTTATTTGAGCTGCTACAGTTGCATTAGTGGAAAGAACTGGGTGGGAAGACCGAGGAATGAGTCCCGCTTTATTTATAGCAATCAATAGGGACACCTCGATGTCAGCAGTAGAAGACGGATTTTTTTCAGCGCTGTAGCATGGCGTGAGTAGATTCAAACAGATATAAACACTTTCCCCATGTAAGCCAAAAAACCTTGAAGATTCTCATTTTCTTTCCTTGGTCTTTGCTGTCCTCTTTTTGACATCGATTGTTACCGTTCCGAAAACAATCTTAGTAGTTTCCATTTTTCTCACTGATGAAATGGGGGTCTGTTCTGAATGTTGTAGAACAAAAACAGCTCCAAATTCTTGTCATTCTTCTTGATTTTTAATATGTTTCTCAGTTCACACTGATGCAGGGACATGCTTTGAATCGTGCGTTACTGTACACTAGCACTTTTCAGCTAGAGTCTCTCAATCTTGCTCTTCAACACCCGTTGCGACAGAGCGAGGAGAGTTCTGTAGGTAGGACTGGAAGTAAAACACTGTGTGTGTGTGCCAGGGTAACTCTCTGGCATAAAGCTTGCAGGAAAGGGAGCACTTTGGGCAAGTTCTGCAAAGTAAGAGTAATTCCTTTGCTAGAATAAAAAAAAAAAAAGAATAAAAGTCACAAAGTAATATAATAATTAGCCTTTATTTAGGAAAAAAAAAGCGATGTTTTTATAATACTGTTAGGGAATCTATGTGAAAGCTTTATCAGCTATAGTTTAGACTTTAGTGAGCTGTTTTATTTATGTTGTCCATAGTCAAAGGAGAGGGGCATGTGTGTATATATATATATGTATATGTATATTTATTTGTGTGTGTATATATGTATGCAAGCACATGCCTAACTGTTTTTATTAATTCATTAATATACATTAATATATTTGTACCCTGGACAGCTATATAGTAAATATGTATGCATACACATATACCCACACATGCACACATACCCTTATGTTTGTACACACAGCTTTTACAATTATAGATGGTGCATAATATTAACAGATGCCCGACGTACCTAATGTTTGCCAAGCAAAGCAAAGCCAAAACCATACCACAGTGATTCATGTGTCTGTAGCGGCTTTTTAGCTTTTGATATCGTTGCCCTTGGGCACTGTATTTCAAGATGTTGCCAGCTTTTCTCAGCTCTGGTGACAGGTACTTGTTAGTTTTAATGTTCAAATGATAGTTTTTCACTTTGCTTAAGCTTAGGAAGGAGTTAATTGACTAAAGCACTTCTCAGCAGCAGGTTGTCTTCACCTGCAATTTCTCTCATCAGGTAATTAGCCATATTCACAGTTGCTGACCCTTAATACTAACCTACTGAATGATGCATGCCTGGCTGAAGACCAGTTGACCATATTACTCCAGCACCCCAATCCTATTTGATCCTTCAGCAAATATATTGCAGGTGTGGGGTCTATGAGAGCTGGACTTGGCAAGTTAATTTCCCACTGCCCCTTCAGGAGTGACCGTAGATTCTATCCATGTTGCTTGCAAAACTGTTGGATGTGTTCTTCACACACTAAATCCTTCACGGGTTTCTCAGAACAGTGTGAAAACCTTTTCTATTGTATTTTGTAGTATTTTATTTACTTTAGTAGCAATACAGTGCCAGCAGGTCAGAAGTCTAATTAATGTTTTAAAAATAGAAGTTCTCAAACACCAGGCAAGTTTGTCATTTTCTGTATGGTTTGTTTTGAGGAGGAAGAGGAAAGAAGGTGAGGAGGGAACCCTTCTGTTCCATGATTACATCCCACCCGCTCATTTTCTCCTTTTCTCCTTTGCTTTTGATTATAGTGGCTGTCTTAACAGAATGTCAAGATCAATTTGCAGCATGGTTTAACTCAAGGTTTGCATTCTGCCAGCAGCGATTGTCCTAACGAACAATGCTCTGTGTTCTTGTAACTTCAGAAGCTTTTAGAAGGCTCATGGCAAGGGCAGCATCTAATGACTTTATTAGTGTAGGGTTTCAAAATGGGCTTGGTAATTGTTCGCATCTCTTTGTCATCTAGTCATAATTACTGCATAGTATTGTTCGGATTTGCACTTGTGAATAGTTTCCTAATGGCACTGAAACGAAGAAAAAAGGAAGAGGATAAAAGGTGATTGTCTCTTTAGATGGAGAACAAAACAGCCTGTGTATGGATGATGGTTAAACTGTTTATTATACACCTACCAGAAAAGGTAAACTATCCCTGCTTAAATATTTCTGTGCTTCAAGGTAATTCTATGTTAGTAGTCTAAAAATGTCCAAATTTGGAAAACTAGAAATCAGCAGAGAAAGCATTTTAGTCTGATTGTGATTAGTAGGATATGCATGTCTCCATAATATTCAACTATAAGTACTCTCTCTCTTGATGTGATTAAGGTTTTCAGTGCATATGTCTATAGTGATGTTTTAAGGTCATCTGAAAAAAAAATTATTAAACCCATAGGAATTAACTAAATTGATATATTCGTAAGCATATATTTTAAGTCCCCACTATAAAACCAAGCCCTAAAGCGAGTTTTATCCCACTGTACTCAAAATAGAGCCTAGTTTGTTAAACCTTTTGAGCAGAAAAGATGAAGGAACAAAACCCTGTAGTGTCCCCTTCAAAAGAGGTGAAGGCAGAAGAACAGGTAGTCAAGACAGACTTGTTGGACTGTTTTGATGAAGGAGAAGTCAGTCATTCACGGATCCATCTAACTGCAGGAGTCCACAGCTGTGCCAGCGAAGTCTAATATCAGATGGAGTTGAAGTTGTAGAGAAAGTGAGGTGCATCTCTGCACCTAAATCAACCATTGGGAGAAACACAGAGCTGGCAGAGTCAGAATTGTTTGCACTAAAATGCAGCCGAAAGGCATGGGTGAATCTCCTTGATACTGCAGGGTGCGTGGCCAGGACCTTGGCAGAATCCTGGCAGCAGTGCCGGTGCCCGTCTTCTTCCTTGACATTAGGACAACTCAGCTTTGCCCACTCACCTCTCCTTTTTGTTACTATTCTGACTGTCTGTGGGTCCTGGAGAGCTGCAGGTAACAGTGTTCTTGGTCCCATGCCTGGCCAGAAGGTTCAGCTGTAGCTGCATCGTTCATGACTGAGGGTTCTTTGATGTGAG